TTTTAGTGGAAGGGTTAAAAAATATGTGTAACAAGGGCTGCATACACACACACACACACACACACACACACACACACACACACACACACTTCCCACGCAGCCTCTCTCTCATGTTTCCATCATTCTCCCACAGATTCAATATTTGGGCCTCGTGCTAAAGAAACGGTGTGAGTCACAGCAGCAGTTTCAGGAGAGCCGATAAAGCTTCTCACTGCTGGTTGTGGTTGATTTGTGGCATTTAAAATACTACACACACACACACACACACACACACACACACACACACACACACACACACACACACACACACACACACACACCATCTTATCTCTCCTCCTCCTCTTTCTGGAATTTAAATGAGCTTCCAAAGGCAGCAGATTTTCTGAATATACGCTCTGTAAATATTATGCAAAGATATGACAAACATTAAGGGGCAAATCAGGTAGAGCTCTGTGTTTATGGAAATATGAAAAATATATCAATCTAAATTCCATATGAATACTATGTTATTCCCTTAAGGAATTTTAACCTTTTTGTTTATTTTACAGATCTTTTTTCATTTGATATGTTTTTTATTATTTCTCACCTGCTGGTGTGAAGCCAAAGATAACATGTAACTAACATGTCACGCTATGTTTCTGTTGAAAATACAAGTATAGATATTCTGGGCTCATTGTCTGATGTTGTGGTTCCGTCTTTCCTTCCATCCTCCTCCTCCTCCACCTCCTCCTCCTCCTCCTCCTCCTTTTCTTCATCCTCTTCCACTCCGTCTCCTCGCCCTGGTCCTCGTCTACCTGCTGTACCTCCTCCTCCTTTTCTTCATCCTCTTCTCCTCCGTTCTCCTCGCCCTGGTCCTCGTCTACCTGCTGTACCTCCTCCTCCGTCTCTCCAGCAGGACTCTGAGGGCGATGTGGAGGCTTCGACCGGCTCAGACTCAGTGACTCAGAGCGCCGGCGGTGGAGCGTCAGCAGCAGGTGATCACACCTGTCTCCCCATGAAGGCTTCTCATCATGTCACAGGATGTCACATGACCCTACTAACCCACAGCATTATTCCTCTTGCACTGTGTTGTCTTGTCGTCCATCGCCGTCTGCTGTTGCGCACCAACCGCCAAGTCACGTTCCTTGTATGTCTGACGTATTATGGCAATAAATGTTTCCTGATTCCTGATCTCACATGGCTTTTATTTACTGTCTGGAAGCAGACAAGTGCATCTTTGGTCACTTGGAGCACAGTGCAACGAGACGCTTTTGACCTCACTCAAGAATATTTGAACCCACAACAACAATCTCCATAACTGAGTGTTTTCTTTTAAACTGAAAGTAAATGAGACGCTCTGGTTTAGTTTGTTTTTCGTGCAGTCTTCTCCATGTTTTTGAAATTCAACTTTTCGATATGAAAAAAGCCTCATCCGGTGCTTCCGTTAGACCGTTAGAGCTTTTACAACGAGGTTCGGGGTCAGTGACATTGTTTTCTGCTCCCTGCAGCGGGCCCGTCCCTGAGAGGGAGACCACACCACCCAACAACGTCGAAAGTCGCTTACTTCAAGAGGAAATATGCGGAGGAGGAGGATGTACACGGAGGCCTACATGGATATTTTCAAAAAGTATGATCTTTCTCTCTTTACGCACTGAAGTGAACCTCCGTGCTCCACGTGAGGAGCCCTGACGCTTCTCAAGCCTTCCAGGTGTCTTCACCATTTTTCATTTGAACGTCTTCACACCTCTTTTCTTTTGTAAGATTGGGGAAGTCACCAATTACATGAAGGTTTTATTTATTGTCTGAGACTTTAATCTGCGTCTATAAGCTGCAGATCTAAGCTGTGAATATCTCTATAAATAAACGGCAATAAACGGAGGTCAAAATGATAAATGGCTTACTGGGGTAACTTGTCTTGGACCCTCTTCCTACAAAGTGAAGCAAAAAAAAAACTAAACAGAAAAATGAACCTGCCAGGAGAGCAAAATCTGAGACATTAACTTTCTGTCTTAGTTGTCAGATGTGACACAGACGTTGACGTCTAACGTGAAATGTGAGTCTTGTCTGCTTCGTGTGAGTATCTGCTGATGCGTTGATGTGCACGGAGGAGCTGCACGCCACCACGTGCTCCTTCTGAAGCGCTGGTGGTGAACGGCTGAAAGAGATGCTCCTGTTTGTGTGCAGCACCTGATACTGCAGGAGGACCGGAGCTGCATCCTGAAGCTGTCCCTGGAGAAGCTGAGGTTCCTGGAGGACCCCGAGGCCTACCTGAGGCGCTCCGTCCTCATCAACAACCTGCTGAGGAAGATCCACCATGAGGAGGAGGAGCTGGAGGCCAGAGAGGAGGAGGAGGAGGTAGAAGAAGAAGAGGAGGAGGAGGTGGGAGAGAGGGGGCTTCTCTACCCCGGACAGGAAGAGGGTGAAGGTGCTGGTGATGGGCTGCTGCTCCCCGGCGTTCGGCCTGGAGGAGCTGCAGCACTGCCGGCTGGTGCCCTGTTGCCCGTACGGCCTCCCCCCGACCCACCGGGTCCTCCTGTACCACCCGGACGACAACGGCTGACGTAGCGCTGCGCCGCTGCCTCTTTTCTGAAGGAGCAAAGCGCCGGCTCTGGAAAGCTGTGGACGTTTTCCCACTATAAAAGAATAAGCTCAGGAGGCGCTGGTTTGGTTTGGTTTGGTTTGGTTTGGTTTGGTTTGGTTTGGCACAAACTCAAATCGTCACTGAGAGCCAGCGGTGGAGGGAAGCGCCCAGATGTGGATGTCAAACCATCGCAGCATCACTGCCTTTTTTCTTTTACGTGAGTGACTCTCGGCCGGCTGTCGGTGTTGTTTTATTGATTTAAAAACAAACAAACATGTATTACTGTATTCAGGGATTTACGGACCGCAGGCTGAGTTCCCTTTGATGCGCCTGGGTGCTGATACGCTTCTCTTGTCTCTCTATGCTACCGTTTGATTTGTGCACCGTGCAAGACTCCCCGCTGTGTGAGTCATCATCTCCGAGGTGCGTTCACGGCCCGTGGGAACACTGGGGCTTTCTCCGTGTTTCGCATCCCTCTGCTGCCCTCTGCCGAGGAACCTTTTTCATCTCAAAGCCATTTTTAGCGGCTGATATTTTCAGATTCCTCAACTGATTGATGAGGAAGTTCCCCAATTTCTGCTTTTATCAGCAGCGCGTAAACATCACGATACAAGCGTGTGTTATTGTTAACAACCATAAATGAACTGAAATACAAAGAGTAAAGATATCATATAGTAAAATAGTTCCTCATAGGATAAGTGATAGTGAGAAGTGATAATAACAAATACAAATACTGAAAACCTTTTTTCTGCTTAAAACTACCTGGTGGTGTTATAAAGAATGTATTACATGCTTATATTGTGCTTAAAAGGCTACATTGTTGGGGGCTAAAGTGGTGTTTTCTTGGAAAGAGGATGAGAATATTGCTTTACTGTTTAAAGGAACATTTTATTTCCTGCTTCCAAATGTTTTGCAGCACGATTTTGTGTTAAAGCTACATCTTTAAGTCGATATTAAATTCCCACTTTCTTTAACTGTCAGTCAGTAAATAAGGGCAGCTGAAATGTTTCCACAGAGTTTCATTATTTAATGTTGCACAAAGTGTGTCGTATGAGTGTGATAGTTGGGATTAACGCCTCGTCCTCCTCCAGCCTCTCATTCTGTGTTTTAAATGTTCAGTCCAGTCTCTTCGCGTTATGTGCATCTTGGTAACAATCACTTCAACGGAAAACAACTACAACGAAACATGCTGGCAACTATTGAAGAGAAGCTTGATATTTTAAAAAAACAAGAATTTATATTTTGATGAAAATACATATTCCATATTTAAGATAAACTATTTTGAAAAAGGGCCAGTAAACGTTTTTCAGATGATTGATTGTTAAATAAAGTATGTGAGGTGACAAAGATTTTGTGTTTTCATGCGTCTCTGTTTTGCAATAGAAGTAAAATACAATAGAAGCATTTAAATATAAATATCTTATCCAACTCTCTATCCATCCATCCTTCTATATCTATCTTAATTCTTAAATCCTAGAAGTCCTCAATAGTATTATTTTGTTCCAAAACAATCAGACATTTTCAACATGTTTTTACATGTTTATTTTCTTGAATCTTCACGTTTACAAGTTTAGGATAAAAAGAGGACAGCGTTGCCCTGACCTGGATACGCGCAATTTGACCTGTTTCCAGTATTTTCTTGCGTTGATCGCCTTGAAAACGTTGATAGGTATATTTGTTTATGGGTCTAGGTATTTATTATACAGATTCACTTTTCTTTAAATCAAATGTTACAACATAAAGGTTTGAGGCTTATTTACTTAATCTTTGACAAGATACGTGCTTATTGAAGTAAGGAGACGTTTCAAACTTCAGAGCTTGGTTCCATCCATTATTTATTAGTGCTTCTTAAAGAAAGCAATAAGAACTGCACCGAAGCAAATTAAAATATAGGGCTAAAACATTACATATTCGGCGTGTTTTTTCGATCGTCTTCGATGTATTGGGTAAATGTCCAACAGCACCTGAACGCACCACGCAGAACGCGCTCCCCTCGAGTGCTCCGCAGATCTGTCAGTTGCAGGATTCTACTCGGATAGCGGGTCACTGAACGCGTCCGGACGCTGTCAATCAACAACCGGACCCCCCTCGGTTTGTCTGTTATCCTCTTACTGCGGGGAAAACACAACCATTTTATCCTTTTGCTCCTTTTTTAAATTTTTTTTTATTTTTTATTTGGGGTTCACTCTGTCGCGATGCACGGGATAGCTAACAGTTAGCTAGCGTTAGCCGGTGAGCTAAAGGGTAGCTAGCGTTAGCCGTAGAGCTAACGGTTCGCTAGCGTTAGCCGGAGTGCTAACGGTTCGCTAGCGTTAGCCGGAGTGCTAACGGTTCGCTAGCGTTAGCCGGAGTGCTAACGGTTCGCTAGCGTTAGCCGGAGTGCTAACGGTCATCTGCACCCGCGAACCCGGGTGCGGTTGAAGCGGAGTCCGCGTGCGGTGTGGTCAACAACCCGCAGTAAACATGGGGAAAAGCAACCGGTTGTTAAACCTCTACCACTATCTCCAAGACCCCCACCTTGTGGCTCGGTTTCAGCACTTTTGTGGAGTACGCGAGACGTTTTCGGGAACCGTAACCTCCACCACCTCCACCGCGGCGGCGGGAAAGGAAGCAGACCGGACTCATGAGCACAATAACGGGGCTTGCCGTCGCCGCGTCGCCGGGGGGGACGACAGCGGATACCCGGCCGCCATCGGAGCCGGTGAAGGGGAGAAAGCCCAGACGGCGGCGGCGAAGGGTGTCAGCCAGAGGGTCGCCAGTTCAAGCGTCGCGACGAGCCGAGGGGAAGAAAGTAGAAATCCGCCCCGGAACGGAGCGCCGGTCTCCGCGAAGACCGCCGCGGGAGAAGCGGTCAGTGCGGGCAGGAACGGACGAAGTTCCTGCCCGCCGGACCTTACCGGCGCCACCGAATCAGAAGAGCCGGGCAACGAAAAAGCCCCGGGGAGCAGCGGCACGGTGAAACCCCTCCGGAAGAACTCTCTGACGGGCGACGCCGGGCAGGAGTTCCTCATCCAGAACCGGTTCCTGTACTACGCCTTCACGCTCGGAACCGAGCTGGGCAACGAGCTGTTCTACATCACCTTCTTCCCCTTCGTCACGTGGAACGTGGACGCCTTCGTGAGCCGCCGGCTGATCATGGTCTGGGTCTGGGTCATGTACCTGGGCCAGTGCACCAAGGACCTGCTGGGCTGGTCGCGGCCCGCCTCGCCGCCCGTGATCAAGGTGGAGATGTTCTACAACTCCGAGTACAGCATGCCGTCCACGCACGCCATGTCGGGCACGGCCATCCCCTTCTCGCTGTTCTTCATGACCTACGGCCGCTGGGAGGTACGGTCCTAGTTCTACATACATGCATACCGCGGCGGTCATACATGCATACATACATGTATGTATGCATGTATGTATGCATGTATGTATGTATGCATGCATGCATAAATACACGTTTTGGTAAAGTGGCATGCAGTCTCCAAAAGTTCATAAACATTACTCAACTCCTCCCTAGTTGCAAGTTATTGGAGATGACTCAACGACTCAATATAAACAAAATGCAAACTAAGTCATGTAAACACCGCAGGCTCCTCTTTTCATATGGATTTTAGTTGCAGTGATCCCATAATTAATAAATAACCGTCCGTCTCTTTAAACTCGGCAGCGTCTAAACGCGTTGCAGCGATTCAACAGGACGCCACAACGACACCAGATAAGAGCATCTGCCAAAGGGCGACTCCTGATACGGGATCAGTGCGACTTGCCCCCTTAACCATTGATTTGCGGATTCGGTGACAGGAGCTCCGTTGTGTTTCAGTGAAACGCAGCTCGCTGTGAGGGCAACACGGATGGTACAGCGTATGCCAATGGAAAGGAAACTTGCTCCAACATCGCCTCGTTTTGTCCCAACAACGTACAAAAACAAATTCTGACATTCTCTTCACGAGACTTCACTCATCAGCACTCTTGTTAAGTTAAATTCCCATCATGCCTTGCAAAGGTCTCCAGATGGATGGTCTGCGTGGGCGAGATTCTTTAACACTGATTCAGGGATTTTCTACTCGTCGTGACCTCTGTCCACATAACTGTCTCCTCCTTGATGGTCCAGGGCTCACACGCATCCTTAAAACACTCGTTGGATCAATTGAGTGAATTGTGTAAAAAGAAAGCCTTCACTTTACGTGTTTAAAGTGAATCTTAAGTTTAAAAAAATACTTGAGATGAACTCGACAAACTGCCCGTCCTCTGGGCTTTTCTCACAACTTTTAAACAAAATGTTTCCCGGCGTGGCCTCCAACTCAAAGCCATGGTTGCTCTGCTAGTGGAGGCACGTGGGAGAGCAACTACAGCTCATTGATTAGATAGAATGAGATTTATGGTCCATCTCACATCGGCCTGTAACATTTCCTGAATAATCCGTCGCTCTGGTCTTGCTCTTCTTCTTCGGTTGAGTCTCTGAGCTGTTTTCATTTCTAAGAAGCCATTGAACTTTGAATTTGGTACACACATGATTTAAAGTGGCGCCTTTGTGCTTTTCTTTGTGGAGAAAGTCAATTGAACACATCTGCTGAAGGGGGAGAAGCTCTTAAGCAGAGTACAGCCTTAAAATGACACAACTAGCACTACATTACCAGCATTTCTAATTGGATTGAGATTGCAGGCTGTCCCACATGTCCCCCTCGGCTTGCTGTAGTTTTTCAGCTGGCTTGTCTCAGCAGAAGCAGGAATGTTTGGACCGAGTCCTCCTGCAGCTCCGACATTAACCACAGCCACATGTCTCTCTGTGGAAGATACTGGTAATAAGGACGGAGAGGAAAGTAGGA